CGTCGACGCATGCCTTCGCCGCTCCGAAATTTGCGCTTCCTTGTGCTACGAGGGACCTCGGGAGGTCCCTTGGGGCTAAGGAAAAATTGGCTGTGGCCACAAGGACGCCACAAGGAAATCTCCTTGTGGTGTTTTCACATTTTTTTTCGAGAATCGTCCCCAAGGACAGGTGGAACGATCATTTCCTTGTGGATTTCGGGTCCAGAAGGAGTGTCTAACGAGGCCCTTAGTTGAAAAAGTACTAGTGTGAGTACGCCCTAAGACTTCTGAAGGAAACGGAGAAGGAAGCCTTGAGTAAGACGTACACAGGCCAGCCCTTTCGCCAAGAGCTCGGTTCTTGTTCTTCGCTTGTGATGTGAGAAACCTGATGGAGGTCATACTCAACGCAGYACTTTCCCAACTGAACCGGAGCCAAATTTGGGCCAAACCTGGACGAATCTGACCACAATCAAGTCCAGAGCTCAGTAGAAAAGGTCCAGGTGTGAGTACGCCTTAAGGGAGCGGTATATCTGGTAATCTTCGTTGCCTTTTATGGGCAAATTACAACTGTACGCCTTTTGCTGATTATCCTAACAACTACACCGATCTGGTGACCGAACTATTTTTGAGCACATGCCCACACTAGAACAGTTCCGGCGTATCCCTGGACGTGATTGCAGTCAAATGCATCCACATCCGGACATAAAAGCAGTCAGATGCACGTCAAAAAGTCCTCTTGTCAGCATGCCCTGAGCAGTTTACGGCAAGACGGGTACTTGTTAGGATAGTCCCAGAGCGGGGTATACTTGCACCCCTTCCATCTTCGCCCTGTCAGTCTAGATATAGCCATAATGACTGGGAGTGTTCTATTTGTTCTATTTGGCTGACAACGGTAGTGACGCGTTGACACTTGAATCCATTGTCTCTTAGGCAAGACCTGCAATGGAATCGGTGTTTTGTTCCAAAAAAATGAAAAGACAGAGATTTCAGAGAATAGGGGAGAAAAAAAAGAAAAAAGAAAAAAAAAAAGGGAAAGAAAGAGCAGATAAAGAAGTATGGGTCAGATCCCACACACACTACTCCCACCAAGGGGCCCGTTAGACACTCCTCGGCGCATCCTCGGGCTCCGAGGGGAAATCCTCGGGGCAGCCCAAGGACTTTCCCGCTTTCGTTCCGCTGCTCCCTCGGGACGACGCCCGAGGATGCTCGGAGGATTGGCCGCGGGGAGACGTATAATTTTATACGCGGCCACGGGACGAAAGTTTGGGCGGTGGTCCATCGTCCGATGTCCGTGCGAGCGGCCTTGGTCCACCGCGTTTGGCCTTCGAATTCGAAAAGGGACTGCCGCCGCCGCAATAAGGAAAAAAATCCGCGCGCACGCGTGTACTTTCAAAATTAAAATTTCGAATCGGCCGACCATGCCGTGCAGTGTGGTTCCGCGGGGACATGCCGGTACCTTGGGGCGACCCCATCGGGGACTCTGAGGGGTTTTGTAGTAGGCGTGATGTGGGGCAGCCACTAGCCGTTGTGGCGTCAGCACAATGTTCCACACGTATTTGAAGAGATGGCTCTCCGTGGCCCTCCGTCGATTGTTGTGAGCGTCGCGTTCCGCCTTGCTCGTTCGTCCTCACGCACCGCGGCACGATCGCCATCCCCGCCAACTTGCTCGTGGGCAGTGTCCATTGCTGGCGGCATCCAGTCGAGTGTTGGGCGAGTTCACTCCGCGAGGATGACTGCGATGTCTGAGGTAGTCCATGTGCGTGGAGTGGGTGATGGGGATGACGTCGGGGCCCGGTTGTCCGCTCTGGAGAGGGTTGTCGTGACGTCTGCCGTAGCCGCCGTCATCATGCATTGCGACATGGAGGTCGAATGTCAATGGCGGTGGGCACGACTACGTGCTCGGAGAAGGAAGTTGATGCCGGCGGCGACGACTGAAGCGTTGGATAGCGCTGTCATCTGTGATGCCGTGTTAGAGGTGTGTTGTGCAATGGGGTGTGGGGGACTACCGAGGGCGACGCCGAGGTGGTGGGTAAAAAGGAGGACGGGGGGGACTTGGGAGGATCTTCGGCCTGCGGACGACGCCACTGACGATTACTTCCGCGACAAGTTACGGATGTCTCCACGTGTCTTCCGCGAGATCGTTGAGAACTTGTCGCCGATTCTCCAGCGACGTGTGACGTTCTATAGGGAGTCGTTGCAACCAGACCAGATCGTCGCCTACGCGCTGTACAGGTGGGCGTCGGGCGAGCCATACGAGAGCAGCAGCTGCAGATTTGGGATTGGCAGGGCTTCAGGTTTGGTGGTCGTCCGGGACGTTACTTCTGCGCTGCTTTCGGTGTACAGGGAGAAGGTGGCGTGGCCGACTGGGGTGCGGAAGGCGATCGTTCTGCGTGCTTTTGCAGACAAGGGTTTCCCGAACTGCCATGGGTGCATCGACTGCACCCATATCTATGTCGATAAGCCCGCGAATGCACCTGCAGAAGACTACTACGACCGCAAGAGACGATTCTTTGTCGTTGCTCAAGTGGTGGTCGACTTGGACTTGCGCATCCTGGACGTGTTYGTGGGATATCCGGGGAGCTGCCACGACGTCCGGATCATCCATCTCTCCAGTCTATGGTCGCGGGTGGCGGCGGGAGAGTTGTTTACAGGGCCTCCTGTGCTGCTACCGTTCCAAGTGCAGACGAATGGTTATCTGCTGGCCGACAATGGTTACCCGGCGATCGAATGGATGGTTGTCCCGTTTGGCGGCGTGGCGCARCATCCCCTGGAGAGTCGTTTCGACAGCAGGCAGAAGACCGCGAGGGGGGCAGTGGAGAGGGCATTCGGGAGACTGAAAGGAATGTGGCGCTTGTTCCTAGGCTCACACAAGACCAACATGGAGACCTTGCCCCAACAGTTTGTGGTCGTCTGCATCTTGCACAACATCCTGATCGACGCCGRCATCCCTTTCGACGAGAACTTGCTGTGGGAGGTTGACGCCAATGGAGTTCGTCGTCGGGTGGATCTCGGGATCCATCGGCCCCCCTCGCCGTTGTGCATGGAAATTTCTACGGGGGAGGCGATCATGCTGCGCCAGGCGCTGGCGGAGCGAATGGTGCGGCGATGACGGCAGAGGACGCCGCGTGGCGGCGGGAGCTGCGGGCCGCGTCGATGGAGGAACGTTTGACGGCGGCGGTGGGAGGAAGCAGTGTGTGAAGAGACGACGGGCGCAGTACATGTGCCATGCCGTCCGATTTTGAGTTTCTCGGAAGTTTTTCCTTTTTGTGTTTTGATCCTCGGCTTCGGGCTGGTGCGTTGATAGTGGGGCGTTCCCTGTTAGTGTGGGCGAGTCGTTGGGCGGCGGAAGCGGCGGCAGTGGCCGGTTAGTGTGATTAGTTGACGGCATTGAGATGGAGTTGTTGTATGTCGTGAGCGGCAGTCGTGTGCATGCCTTGGGGCTCGTTTAGGACGTTCTACGGAAAACAATCATTTCGGCAGTGTGTTTTTTTATTTCGCAAGGGTTTGGTGATTGTTGGGTTGTGATCGCAAAGTGTTATTGCTTGTTGGCGACTATTTTCCTTCCTCTCCTACACACTCCCTGCTGCATGGATGGCATGCTGACGTGTGAAAAAAGAAGTCTGCGAGCGCAATCAAATGGTGTTTACATGTGTTGATGTAGACAAATGAAAGTCGTAAAGACGCAGGAAAACAGTTTTGTGTCTGCCTTCATTCATTTGCATCTTCGTCCTAGGGTTGCCAGTGTTTGGTGGATGAGTGCGCGTTGTGATAAAAACAAACGATATGCAAACGGCAATGATCAATGGTCATCGCACAATGGTCACATGCAATTCCGAAAACAAGTCAGGTAAAAAAAAAAAAAAAAGACTCCAAATAAAATAACAAAACAAAAACATGTGCAATATACAGAGGACGGGAAGGATCGATTGGTTTGCGTTCGGGAAGCATGCCAACACAAAAGACGACCACGTATCGAACCGGGCTGAAGAGACGGAAAGAAGAACAACACATTTCCAAATTATAAAGCACACGGCACTATACATAAACAAAAAAGTAATTTTCGACACCGCACCAGCGGCGTGCCAAAAACGGTGGCCCACTAAAAAAGCTGCACTGCAATGGGTTGCGGAAAGCCCATGGGATCTGGCGACGACATGTATGAGCACCAACGACCAGAGACGACCACCGAACACGGCCGTCTGCACCATCATCATCATAATCATCATCATCATCATCATCATCATCATTATCGGCATCATCATCATCATCATCGTCATCATCATCATCATCATCATCATGATCATCATCATTATCATCATCATCATCATCATCATCATCATCATCATCGNATCATCATCATCATCATCATGATCATCATCATTATCATCATCATCATCATCATCATCATCATCATCATCGTCATCATCATCATCATCATCATCATCATCATCATCATTGTCGTCATCGTTGTCGTCGTCTATATCCACATCATCATCGTCTTCATCATCATCATCGTCATCGTCATCATTGTCGTCGTCGTCTTGATCATTATCATCATCATCATCATCATCATCATCATCATCATCGTCGTCGTCTTCATCATCATCATCATCGTCATCATCGTCGTCGTCGTCGTTGTCATCATCATCATCATCATCGCCGCCGTCTTGATCATCAGCATCGTCGACTCCATCGTCGCCGCCTTCGTCATCATCGTCGCCATCGTCATCATCGTCGCCATCATCATCATCATCATCTGCATCAYCGTCGTCATCGCATGCAGTCCGCGACCATCGTTCACGCCTCCCCCTCGTCTGCCTTCTCCTCCTCTTCGTCGTCGATCTCGGGTGGTCCGGTACCCATCCAATCCAGTCTCCTGGCGAGATCAGGAGACGCCAACGTCGCGTCGTTGTTGAAAGACACCCCGCACGAAACCCAGTCGGGGATGTACAGCGGAGAGCCCACCAACGTCATTGGGGGCTTTCCCATTTTATCTGTCACGGCGTTCACGCACTGCAGAACATGGTGCCGCGCGTCGAACGAGCGATGAAGCGACGCAATGAGCGTGGGTTTCGCGACTAGCTCCATCAGATGGGAGGCCTCGTAGTGTGAGCGCGGATTATCACCCGCCATCCGCATGATCCACATGGCAGCAGACAGCAAAAGGCGCATGCAGTCCTCGTCGTTCCTCAACCTTTCGTACGAAATCCGACCGCCGTCCACCCCCTCCCCCAAGTCAACAGCATTACTGAAAGCTCCGACGAGACGCTGCATTGTGGACTCCTGATACGACGCCAACTCGTCCTCCTCGTGCTTGTCGTGTATGATGCCGCCAACGTACCATATGGGGAGCGTCATACGAGCCTCCAAAGTGTTGTGGACGACCACGGGATTGACGCAAACACGCCAGTCCTCTCCCAACCAGATGGCGCGACCCAGGTATGTGGCCAGGTGGTTCAGCACATAGTCGTACGCGCAGTGATAACCGCGTGCGCGATTGGGGGACTTGAAGAGCCACCCATGGATGATGCGCAACGCTATTGTCTGCACCCTCCCAGCCCTCTCCTTGGCGGCCTGCAGCTCGGACTCGTCTTCCATCTTCTGCAGAGGGATCGTGGAGTTAGGCAGCACGATGCTTTTTCTGATCTCCGGTGGCTTCACACCCTTTGCGATGGCCACGAGGTGCAGGCGAGTTTCCAGTATCATCTTCACCAGCCCATGCCCCTCCATCTCGTTCCAAAAACGATGATCGTCAACCCATAGCCGTGCTTTCGTCTCCAGAGCCGCCAAGCCTCCCGATCGCCTCTGCCTGTTGATGAGCGGATCGTCGTCATCATCAACATCACGGCCGTCACCCCCGCCTCCCCCCGCTCCCCCCRTCGACGTGCCAGCAATGGCACCCGCCACCGCGACATCCTTCGTCCCGATGCGCGCGGGGGGCTGGGGCCTGCTTGCTGCAGTCACCGCCCCCCCCTCCTCCCTTCTCGCGTGTCCCGCTGCTGGCGTCGCCTGGGTCGACAACGCCCACAGCGGCCACAGTCTGCCAATGTCATGCGGTGCGGTGACATCCCTTGCTTGGACGGGGTTGCGCATCATCGGGGTCACTTGCCGGCCCCGATCGTCCCTACCAGCAGCACCGGCTGCCACGTCGCCCCTTGCGTCGTTGTCGCCACGCGCAACCCCAAGCCCCCCTTTGTTGCCGCCTTTGCCGCCTTCATCTCCGTTGATCATTCGCGTGGCGGTTTGTTCGCACAAGCTCCCTTTGACGCCATGAAACGTGTCCGCCTCCGATTCGAAATCGTCGTCGTCCTCGTTGCTGGCCTCCGTGATTCACTCTTCCCGCGCGGGCCTGCCAATTACCAGGGCGCCGCCCCCTGAGGCCTGCGCCTTCTTCGCCTGATGCCTCCCCCGCTTGACGGCGGTAGCAGCCTCGCCCTGATTAGACTCCCTCCCCCTTTTCCACTTCGCTGTGTTGCGAGTATTTGTCATCGTTGTGAAGACGAACGACGTCGATGGTGGATGGCTGGTGGAGGAGACATGCTGAAGGCCGCACAACCTGCCGCTATCTGCGTTGGACTGAACAGACGCCAGACGCGCGGACGACGCGTATCTCACGGCGACACTGACGACCCGGCTGCCACGCGCTCGCCGCAACGACGCCTTGTCGAACAACCACGAAGACGCGCGCTGCGCAAGTTGGAACGGCGACAACSTGTCCAAGCGAATTTGGCGACGAAGACAAACACGACGTTCGGAGAGAAGGAGGTGTGTCGACGAGGTGTCCAGGTGCAGTTGGCGACTATGACCGAGACGACGTCCGACTGAAAGGAAGTAGGCGTGTCGCCTGCCTTGCAATGCGTCGTGCGACAATGCCGCCTGGAGTGCGTGGAATGGACTGATGTGTTCTCTGATCGGTGGATGGGCGCCCGCAAAGTTTATAAAGCGAAGGCGCACGTGACGAAGGGGATGTGGTCGTGGGTGGGGGCAGGCCGAAGGGGATGCCTTCGCGGGATCAATGCTTTCGCATCCCGTTTTCCCTCACAYGTGCTGTCATTGAGCAGTATCCCCTGAAACACACCCCCGCAACGACGAACACCCCTGCCCTCACATGAAGGAGGTCGTTTCAGTACACAAATGTTCGTCGCAAGAAC